TTTCTAACGATACCCTTTTTATGTCTCAACTTCTCAAATTGCACATAGAGCAGATTACTAAAACAGGAGGATCAATGAACATTGATTCTGGAAAATTTATACTCAGTTTGTCACGTACCGCTAGCAGCATTTTAGCCAAAGACTGCTATGCTAGCTTTCTAGTCTGTTTTTTATGAATGTGCAATAAGCATAAAACACAATTATCTAAGGAATTGTCAACTCGTTCTCATTCTGAGAAATAAGATAGGCCACTTGATTTCAACATCTGAAAAGTGGACAGGCTAGCATGCTGTTCAAAAAGTTAGAGACGGACAGAAGGGTGAAATATAAAGATTAGCTGGCTACTCACTAGCAGTGGGCTTGTGCTTGAGAGATTGTTTATGAGACCTGTGTTAATTTTCTATAATGTCTGCTATAAGAAGTTAGTCATTATTAGTAAATGTGCATTATGCATGGTTCTGGTTAGATTTGTAACAAAAATGACATTTTCATAGACAGACTTGAAAGCCAGATCAGTGATTATTGGTTGTGGCCTAGGTATAATTTCACAAGCCCTGAATTCATTAGATTATTGCTTACTGTTTGAAATACAGTGTATTTTACTTTTAATTGTACAACAAAACGTATCAAAAATCTAGATACTGTATATATTGTGAATCGCCCATAAGTTTGAAAAAATAGAGGAAAGACTAAAACAAGTGCCCTGTAGCTCAGTTGGTAGAGCATGGCGCTTGCAACGCCAGGGTTGTGGGTTCGTTTCCACGGGGGGCCAGTATGAAAATGTATGCACTCACTAACGGTAAGTCGCTCTGGATAAGGGCGTCTGCTAAATGACTAAAATGTTAAAATGCTTGCAGTAAAAACATTGTACATTTAAAACTCTTGACACTGGACGTCTTTGGCCCTACTATCAGTCACTTTTTTTGTATAAACCCACCTCAACTACTCCAGTGCACATTGAATAAGGTACTGGCACTGACCTGTATATACTTGCATTCTCGTGTTTCTTCAACTCACATTGTAGTTCTTGTGTGGGTTTTATTTTAATTGTAATGTTTTATTCTATTTTCTATTATTATCTATATTATTATTATTATCACTGCATTGTTGGGAAAGAGCTCTCAATGTAATCATTTCACTGTACTGTTTTACACGTGCATCCTGTGCACGTGGCAAATAAACTTTGAAACTTGAAACTAGATTTAACCAGTCAGTTAATCAGTCTTGGTGTTGACGCTCCAGCCTCCAAATCCAACTCTCCTCTTCCTGCTCTGTTTCCTGCCCTCAGGGTAGGGTCACCTCCAAAACAGCCCTGCCACTGATCTCCACTTCTTCTTCTGAGCCACAGCTTCCTACCAATGAGAGAGCAGAGGGGGAAGTGGGGTTAGGGGTCAGAGGTTTTGAGGTTAAAGTTTCCGGCCTTGTGGATGGAAGGTCAGGAAACCCAATAACCTAGTGTGGAAAACATATGCATGTATCTATATTATTTTTTCTTATGGTTCGCTTTAGGAGGCAGCCATGGTCAGGGCAATATTACAACCATGTCAACAAGTATGCATGAATCCATGCATGTTTCTCTAAGGCAAACACAGTTGGTACAAGATGGACGCCATGAAGTGTGTTGCTCCCATTATGTCCATACTGTTCTCCAGTCTCTACCGCCAGTCTTTGGGCAGGGCACGGTGTGCACGGTTTTTGGCATTAGTGGTCATGGAGGATTACTTTTATAGCTTCATCTGTAAAGCAGGGTAGCTGTAGACCCACGGGCATCATGCCCAGTCAGGGGGAGACCATGGCACATTGCACAGTCTCACATACCCTCCCTGTGCCAAGCTGTGCCTCCAAACAGCTGGGCTCTAACATTGAATTCTCAGCTGCCCCCTGCCTTAAAGCCAGAGCACCTTGGAATCCCCAGCACCCCCCTCAGTGGTTAATTAAACCCACCCAATTAGCTATGTGGGGAACCTGGGCATGGCTTTGCCTGTCTCTCAGCTGTTGTGGCTTGAGCTAACCCCGTCCCACCCTCCCTCCCTGGTGTTTGTCAAGCAAGTGTGTCAGGCAACATTCTAAAGTAATTTGTTCCAAGGTCATTTCATACCAACATACTCAGTGATCTATACGTGTGACTGTGAGGCTTACCACTAAAACATTTGCTTTTTTGTTTATCTCTGTATACTCATACAGCACTAGCAGCAACTTTTTGTTGTTGTTGTCGTCATGACAACACACGGAGAAATGTCATACTGGAATGAGGTCATTCAATATATACTTCATCAAAATGTATCGAAGAGAGTATTTCTCAACTTCTGCGCCTTGGCACCCAAGAGCTCCAAGACTAAACATGGAGCCACGTCACTTCCTCCTTATTTGGTGAGATTGGGCAAAAATATCAGCATTCCGGACAGCTACCAGCTAGACCCCATCTACCCCCCTCGTCCTTCATCCTTCATCCACCCACATGCTCAATGGCAAACACACACACACGTACACACACACGTACACATACACACACACACTGCCTCCTTTCCCTTGGTTCCCTCCATCTCTATGTTGTCTGCGCCTCTCTCCCAGCATGCTTTGCTGTGTGTGCCAGTAGAGGTCACGGCTGGGGTCTCAGAGCCTTTGTGCCGCCCCATAATGGCTCCATTATCCCTGAGAGGCACAGACTCCAGGCCTCTCCAGGCCTCTCACACTGGTCACCATTGTGACTCACACAGGGACAATTTGGGGACAGATACAGGGACGTGGGAAAGAGTTGGTGTGTGTGTGTGAGTACGAACGTGTGAGGGAATTTGTGTGTGTATGGTCAGATGCACAAGTCGTTTGGCTTGATGGATTACCCACAACAATCGTTTTTTTTACGTTTTCAGAGGTGACCAGTTATCTTAGTTTCTCCTTGCGTTTAAAACCGTCTCCTACTGTATTCCTTGTTTTGGTCCAGCTGAGAACAGCTTTCCACATGTTTGATTTGAATTGAGTGGAGCCTAGTGGTTAGAGCATTGCACATCTGTCAAACTGCCCTTGAGCAAGGCACTTAACCCTAATTGCTCCAGGATTGCAGTCAAACATTTTTTTAATCCCTTGCCGTGACCCCACTCTCTAAGGGGGTCAAATGTTATTTGTCACATGCGCCGAATACAACAGGTGTAGACCTTACAGTGAAATGCTTACTTACAAGTCCTTAACGAAAAATGTAGTTTTAATAAAGAATACCTAAAAAAAAAGCAGTAGAATAACAAAAGCGAGGCTGTATACAAGGGGTACCGGCACAGAGTCAATGTGCGGGGGTAATTGAGGTAATATGTACATGTAGGTAGAGTTATTAAAGTGACTATGCATCGATAATTAACAGAGAGTAGCAGCAGTGTAAAAGGGGGCGGGGGTGGGGGCAATGCAAATAGTCTGGGTAGCCATTTGATTAGATGTTCAGGAGTCTTATGGCTTGGGGGTAGAAGCTGTTTAGAAGCCTCTTGGACCTAGACTTGGCGCTCCGGTACCACTTGCCGTGCGGTAGCAGAGAGAACAGTCTATGACTAGGGTGGCTGGAGTCTTTGACCATTTTTAGGGCCTTCCTCTGACACCGCCTGGTATAGAGTTCCTGGATGGCAGGAAGCTTGGCTCCAGTGATGTACTGGGCTGTACGCACTACCCTCTGTAGTGCCTTGTGATCGGAGGCCGAGCAGTTGCCATACCAGGCAGTGATGCAACCAGTCAGGATGCTCTCGATGGTGCAGCTGTAAAACCTTTTGAGGATCTGAGGACCGATGCCAAATCTTTTCAGTCTCCTTAGGGGGAATAGGTTTTGTCGTGCCCTCTTCACGACTGTCTTGGTGTGCTTGGACCATGTTAGTTTGTTGGTGATGTGGACACCAAGGAACATGTAGCTCTCAACCTGCTCCACTACAGCCCCGTCGATGAGAATGGGGGCGTGCTCGGTCCTCTTCTTTTTCCTGTAGTCCACAATCATCTTCTTTGTCTTGATCACGTTGAGGGAGAGGTTGTTGTCCTGGCACCACACGGCCAGGTCTCTGACCTCCTCCCTATAGGCTGTCTCGTCGTTGTCGGTGATCAGGCCTACCACTTAATGATGGTGTTGGAGTCGTGCCTGGCCATGCAGTCATGAGTGAACAAGGAGTACAGGAGGGGACTGAGCACGCACCCCTGAGGGGCCCCCGTGTTGAGGATCAGCGTGGCGGATGTGTTGTTACCTACCCTTACCACCTGTGGGCGGCCCGTCAGGAAGTCAAGGATCCAGTTGCAGAGGGAGGTGTTTAGTCCCAGGGTCCATAGCTTAGTGATGAGCTTTGAGGGCACTATGGTGTTGAAGCTGAGCTGTAGTCAATGAATAGCATTCTCACATTTTTGGACTCTAAACAGATATGGAGATGAAAATCTTTCATAGTTTGCAAAAGTTCTATCTTTTGACTTGTGCACAATCAGTGGATGTTTGTTTCGGCTTTATATTTTACATTTTAATAGTACCATTTCATGGTATAGCATGTAAACTTTGACTAGGGTAGGTTTAAGGTAATGCCACGAAATCTATACATATCGCCATAACTGAACATGATGAAAGAGAAGTCCATAATAGCCTCAAAGTGAAATGCCCTCATGTTTCACAATATGGGCGATACTGCACAGCACATAATTTGCTGAACATATTCTCTGTATCATATTTCAGTCTCACTCTAAAGCATTCATTATACTGTCCACACCCTCTCAGACCTACTGGGAAAGTAGTGCCACAGACACAGCAGACCAGTGGGACTGTGGAACTCTCAGCTGGCCAGATCATTTGTCTTTCCTTTTCCTCTGGCCTTTAGAAAACAAGTGAGACAGAACAGATAGGACTATCTGGCAGAGACAGAGAGGCAGACACGTGAAGGACTGAGTGAATGCAGCAAGAACTCTTCCTCCAGCTCTGGAAAAAGAGAGTGGACAAGAGAGCTGGGACCTCATTCTTTCCATGTCAAGTCATGGCCAGGTCAAAATGTATAGCCATGTGTCTCAGAGAGAGAGGGAGAAGGAAAGAGAAGTTTAAAAGTAGAAGGAAAGTTTGGGAGAATGGAGGGAGGGAGATAGTGACACAGAAGACAGATGAGGAGAAAGAGGGGGAGACTGAGAAGTGAGAGAGCAGATGAGGAAAGCAGGAAGCCAGCGGCGTGACTGTTTTTGTCCTGAGCCTGAAAACGTGAGTTTGCTGTAATCGGATCGGAACTGGGGTGAGATCATAAAGAAGGCCAGCCAGCAGCCCCAGAGAGAGCGGCCCACCCTGAGCCATGAGACCCTACACCTCCTCCCCAATCCCCCGCAACAGGCAGACTGGGAGGGGGGTTGGTGCTGCCTGATTAACCCCTCACTAGCACCACTCGACGTCCATAGCCCCACTTTTAATAAAGTAATTTACTTTCACCCAGACATTTTTACTACATAGCCTAGTTTAAATGTATGACACTGACACCTCAAGTCCAATTTAGTGTAAATAAAAAATGAAAACAACTTTGACCCCATTAAACTTGAGTGGGTATTTGCTGCTGATATGATATCAGTGCTGAATATGCTCACAGAAAATGGGTCAAGTGTATGCTAAATTGGATGGTGTTAAATAGATGCCAAACTTGAGTGGACACTGGACATGTAGATTAGAATGGTCATAATTACATGCAGTAGAGCAGACAAACACACAACAATGCCGGTACTCTGCAAAAAGCTATTCTATAAGATGTGCCGATAGTCAGTACTGATGTATTTATTTTAGTACTTTTGGTATTTGTTTTTCAGCAAGGTACTACAGGAAGTCCCTGGAGTATGTGGTTGTCCATGTTTATGTGCTTCAACCAGACTGTAGTCATGGCAACAGGGTGTATGTGTGGTGGTATACAGTACTGTGTGCTATCATGGGAGGCTAGCAGAGTGTCACCAGGGAGAAGTCACAGTTGGCCGGCAGATTTCACACTTCTCCTGAAGCCTCGGGGAACAGTGGTCTGAAGCAGGGGTGGTGGGGGTGAGGAGGAGGGGGGTTCTGGAGTGCTCCACATGTAACATGTTAAACTTTTGAGTCATTCAGCATGAATGGAGTCTCGCTGCAACTCATCACTATATAATCTCTGTGTTGTGGGTAAGGCTATCTAAGGCAGTGTTTGTTAGATTGAGAAGTTACGTGGAGAGGTCTGCTCTGTTCTCTTTGCCAGTACTGTGTCTAAAGTCCTAACAGAGAGTCCTAACAAAAAAATGAACAGTCATTTTAACACATTGTGATGCTCTGTGATGATCTACACTACATTACCAAAAGTATGTGGACACCTGCTCGTCGAACATCTCATTCCAAAATCATGGCCATTAGTATGGAGTTGGTCCCTCCTTTGCTGCTATAACAGCCTCCACTCTTCTGGGAAGTATTTCCACTAGATGTTGGAACATTGCTGCAGGGGCTTGCTTCCATTCAGCCACAAGAGCATTAGTGAGGTTGGGCACTGATGTTGGGCGATTAGGCCTGGCTCACAGTCGGCGTTCCAATTCATCCCAAAGGTTTTCGATGGGGTTGAGGTCAGGGCTCTGTGCAGGCCAGTCATGTTCTTCCGCACTGATCTTGACAAACAATTTCTGTATGGACCTCGCTTTGTGCACAGGGGCATTGTCATGCTGAAACAGGAAAGGGCCTTCCCCAAACGGTTGCCACAAAGTTGGAAGCACAGAATCATCTAGAATGTCATTGTATGCTGTAGTGTTAAGATTTCCCTTCACTGGAACTAAGGGGCCTAGCCCGAACCATGAAAAACACCCCCTGACCATTATTCCTCCTCCACCAAACTTTACAGTTGGCATTATGCATTGGGGCAGGTAGCATTCTCCTGGCATCTGCCAAACCCAGATTAGTCCGTCGGACTGCCAGATGGTGATGCGTGATTCATCACTCCAGAGAACGCGTTTCCACTGCTCCAGAGTCCAATGGCGGCAAGCTTTACCCCACTCCAGCCGACGCTTGGCATTGTGCATGGTGATCTTAGGCTTGTGTGTGGCTGCTCGGCCATGGAAACCCATTTCATGAAGCTCCCGACTAACAGTTCTTGTGCTGATGTTGCTTCCAGAGGCAGTTTGGAACTTGGTAGTGAGTGTTGCAACCGCGCTTCAGCACTTGGCGGTCCCGTTCTGTGAGCTTGTGTGGCCTACCACTTCCCAGCTGAGCTGTTGTTGCTCCTAGACGTTTCCACTTCACAATAACAGCACTTAGAGTTGACCAGGGCAGCTCTATCAGGGCAGAAATTTGACGAACTGACTTGTTGGAAAGGTGTCATCCTATGACGGTGCCACGTTGAAATTCACTGAGCTCTTCAGTAAGGCCATTCTACTGCCAATGTTTGTCTATAATAATAATAATATGCCATTTAGCAGACGCTTTTATCCAAAGCGACTTACAGTCATGCATGCATACATTTTTGTGTATGGGTGGTCCCGGGGATCGAACCCACTACCTTGGCGTTTCAAGTGCCGTGCTCTACCAGCTGAGCTACAGAGGACCACATGGAGATTGCGTGGCTGTGTGCTCAATTTTATACACCTGTCAGCAACGGGTGTGACTGAAATAGCCGAATCCACTAATTTGAAGGGTTGTTCACATACTTTTGTATATATAGTGTATGATTTAATCAGATTTTTCTCTTTCATTTTACAGGCACCCAAGCTGTTCTGATGGACTCCAGATAACAGCACCACTCCTCATCTTCCAGTCCCAACCTTTAACCCCCCACCTCCTCCTCCACCTCGTCTCCTCGGTGGTCTGGTTGGTCTGTCGGAGCCCCAGGATGACAGACCCTAATGGGTCTGTGGGGGAGGGCTTGGCAGAGGTGGATGCCTGCAGCCTGGAGATCGAGAGGAAGTATGAGGTCATCCCTGCCGTCATCTGCTCCATGTGCTGCCTATTCGGCATCATCTACTGCTTCTTCGGTAAGGTCACCACAGGGCCAAGGCATACCTCAACGGCGTCACGCAAACGAGTACACTTAAGCTTCAATAACAAGGGCTGCATCCCAAATGGCACACTATTCCCTATATATTGCACTACTAAGGACTCTGATCAAAAGTAGTGCACTATGTAGGGAATAGGGTGCCATTTGGGACAGAACCAAAGTGACAGAGCATGGGAATGTGTATTCAGACTTATCATATGTCTGTTAATGTGTTATATAGAAAATGTACACCCAAACATCATGTCCCTAGGTTACCTCATGCCAATGTTCCCCAAAGTACACTGAAAAGCTACAGTATGTGGGCTACATGATACAGGGAACATGTACTTTCTATCCAGACATACTGTAACATGTGTCTACTGTTCTGTATGCTTCGGTAAAGTCTTTAATACAGTCCCCCATTGACATCATTGTTAATCATACATCACCTCCACATGTCATCATTCCTCAAGGCAAAATCCCCCATTTTGTCTTTCAAAGTGTTATGTAACTGATTAGAGAGAAATGAAAGACATCTGATGTAACTGATTAGGGAGAAATGAAAGACATCTGGCCATTTGGTACCTAATGACAGCATTTATCAGACTAAAGTGATAGTGTAGTGTGTGTTAATCACACTGAGCAATCCCTCACACCCAGATGAGAACCATTACCCAGAGAGAGAGGGCTCCACCCTCAGCCAAGCGGCCGCCACAATCTATGGGTGGGCGTCATTTTTCTCACCAAATCCACCATAATCACCCCAATTAGCTGATTGCTCCTCAACACCACCACCTCTCTTATTAGTTTTAATTGTAGGGTCATTTATACGGCATTACATTGCTTATAGTTGAGAGTCTGTAATTTATATAGTTGGATACTAGTTGCTGATCTCCTAGCCTCAGCAATTTAACTTTAACTTAACGCCCTAATTTATCACCTGCATATTTCCGTTAGTTAGATTCCTCAAGCTGTTGAAACAACCTTTTACTGCAGTGGGCTAAATCAGAGTGTTTCTTGGTAGTCTTAAACAAATCTACTTTGAAACAAAAGTATATACCTCACACACATGGTTATGGTCTTAAAAAAAGAAGACACCTGAACCATGTCAGATAAAGAGTTTAAATGTATTCCATTTTAAGTTTGCATCCCAATATTACACTTTATATACATCATAGAAGACTGAAATATAACAAAACTGTTTTTTTTAACATAATGTTTATTAATTATGAAAGGGCTACATAAGTATTATTTTATTTTCTACTCCCTCTCTTCACCTCTCTACCCTTCTCCTTTCCTCTCTCGCAGGCTACCGCTGCTTCAAAGCGGTCATGTTCCTGTCGGGCCTGATGTTTGGCTCGGTCATCATCTTCCTGCTGTGCCACAAGGAGCGGGTGCTGGACACCCAGCTGAGCGTAGAGGCCTCGGCGGGTATTGGCCTGGGCATCGGCCTGCTGTGTGGCCTGGTCACCATGCTGGTGCGCTCCGTGGGCCTCTTCATGACAGGCCTCCTTCTGGGCCTGCTGCTCGCCCTCGCCGCCCTTCTGGCTACCCACCAGTTCTACACCCCCACCACCGTCTGGGTGCCCCTGGGGGCACTGCTGGGCACGGGCATGCTGTTCGCCGTGCTCACCCTGCAGTGGCAGAAGCTCTTTACGGTATTGTCTACGTCCGTGTTCGGGGCAGCCATCATGACGGTGTGTGCTGACTACTTTGTGGAGATGCTGGCGCTGGCCAGCCATGTATACGAGTGTCTGAGGCTGTCGCCGCCGCCACCGCTCTGCTGGTACAGCTGGGTGATCCTGGGTATCTGGCCGACACTCAGTTTCATGGGGGTACTGGTGCAGTGGAAGCTGACGGCTGAAGGCTTCTCACACACTGAGGGTAAGCATCATAGAATTACATATAGAACTGATTTATAGGATCTCTGTGGAAAGAATGGGAGGTAGAGGACGCCTTTTGTAGAGTATGATGCATCTGTATATCTCAATATGGAGTATGGGTTATATTATGTTCTATTAACTGCGACAATGGTTTCATGGTTTTAGAGAACATTCTTATGGCATTAAAACAAACCAGGGTTTATATTCCATATTGGGTGATTAGGAATTTCTCATGTGCTCTGCAGAATTACTAAGAAATGACTCAGTGAGTTAACACTTCCCTCTCTTTCTTTCTTTCTCTCTCTCTCTCGCTCTCTCTCCTCTCTCTCTCTCTCTCTCTCTCTCTCTCTCTCTCTCTCTCTCTCTCTCTCTCTCTCTCCTCTCTCTCTCTCTCTCTCTCTCTCTCTCTCTCTCTCTCTCTCTCTCTCTCTCTCTCTTTCTTCATGTCTCCTATCTCTCCCTCTCTCCCTCCCTCTCTCTCTCTCTCTCTTCCTCTCTCTCCTATCTCTCTCTCTACCTCTCCCTTTCCCTCTCTCTTTCTCCTCTCAGTCATCATCAGCAGGAGGCAGAAGCGGGTCCAGTTGATGCGGATCAGGCAGAAAGATGCCAAGAAGCGGCAGCAGAGCGGTGGGCAGGAGGGCACTTACCGTCGCAAGCCTACCCCTGTCAAACGCTACGCCGGAGACCTGCTGGCACCGGTCAGTCTCCCTCACTCACACACACAGACACAGACACACACAGAGCATATGTTTTACGGTTTTTCTCGATTGCTAAGACACATTTCTTGAAAGCTGCTCTCCTTTTCTCTTAACTGTGAACACAAAACCCCATTTTCAAGCTACATTCACAAAACCTCAGACTCTTCTTGCAAAACCAAACTTTCACCTCAAAACAGTTCAATCTGTGCTCAAAACTGAACTATGTTGTCAAATCGTGCCCCGAGTCAATCAAAATAAAAAACACTACTGAACAGTCACTAAACACTACGTAGAAAAATAGAAAACACAATGCTCAGGACATGAAGCTGGAGAAATAAATGTTTATTGTTCACTGTAGGCTAAATGCATGTTGCAAAACAAAAAAAAACTGTGCATTTAGCACTTGTACAAAAAGACAAAACAGAAATCTTGTGCATTTACATGTAGCACTTGTAAAAACAAACAGAAATCTTATGCGTTTGCCACTTGTGTACAGTAAGCCCATGTAAAAAATAAAGTACAAAAATATACAAATAAGTGCATTACTCAGCCACAGCATCATGTCTCCGTACTGGGTCAGGCCACAGGACTTCATCCACATCACAGGCCACATTTTGTCTGGCCAGGCAACGGGGGAAAAAAACCCTGGCATGCCGTATCCAGGCTTGGCATGCCTCCACACCTATGTCACCACAGGCAAGTCCCATGGCTTGCAGGAGATTTACCCTGGTGTAAGGTTGACGTTCATATACCTTCCACCGCCATGAGGAGAAGAATTCCTCAATGGGGTTTAGGAAAGGGGAGTACGGTGGAAGGCAAAGATTGATAAAACCTTGGTTCATATTGTACCACTCTCTAACCTGGAGGGCTCTGTGAAAACTCACATTGTCCCAAACAACAACATAGATGGGATGCTCATCCTGCTGCCCTAACAAAGCATCTCGCATGTGATTGAGGAAAATGAGGAGCTGGTGAGTGTTTGGGGCCCCAGGTTGGCATGATGGTGGACAACCCCATGATTGCTGATGGCAGCACATAATGTGACATTGCCACCACGCTGCCCAGGAACACCAACAATGGCCCGATGGCCAATCACATTACGGCCTCTCCTTCTCCTTTTGGTGAGATTAAACCCAGCTTCATCCATGTAGATGTATTGATGGGGTCTTTCCATTGCATCCAGTTGAAAAACCCTCTGTAGAAATAGATATAGTTTTGTAAGTGATACGGAAAAAGTGATTTAGGCCACTACAGTAAATCACTACTTAGAGTAATCAACATTGAATGTGTCTGGATATATGCCAACCTGTACATACTGGAATCTTTGCTCTTTGACTCTGTCTGAGTTGCGATTAAAGGGCACTCTGTATAGCTGTTTCATGCGCAGTCTGTTGCGCTTGAGGACACGATCAACAGTAGAGAGGCTGACACTGTTGATACCCTCAAAATGTAAATGGTCCTCAATGATCTTCTGCTGAATTTCGCTCAGTTTAATGGCATTGTTCTCACGGACCATATCAACAATTAGGGTCTCTTGGTGTGGGGAGAACATACCTGTCCTCCCACCCCCATGTGGCAGTCTTTCAATTCTACAAAAAGAGAACATGGAGTTACAAAAAATATACATGGAATACTAGGCCTACAAACAGTTAGACCAACCCTCTATTACAATACTACAGTACATTGGTACAGTGATGTACTGAAACATATATTTACTTACAGTATACTGTGGTACAGTATATAGTATGTCATACAGTAATTGCTGTCAACATTTACATACTGTACTATAATGTCAAAAAAAGGTAATTACCTGTTCTCTTCTCTAAATCTTCGGATTATGGTGGACACAGTGAATCTACTGATGTTTGGTTGTACCCTTTGTCCAGCCTCCCTCATGCTCATACCATGGACAAGAACATGGTCACTCACAGTAGCTCTGATTTCATCAGATATTACTGTTCTTTGTCTTCGCTGACCACCTCGACCACCTCGACCTCCTCTCACACGAACTCTTTCTCTCAGATTTCTATCCATTGTAGGGCCTCACAAACCAGTGCTCTCTGAACTGGCTTACTGTATACAGTGGGGAGAACAAGTATTTGATACACTGCCGATTTGCAGGTTTTCCTACTTACAAAGCATGTAGAGGTCTGTAATTTTTATCATAGGTACACTTCAACTGTGAGAGACGGAATCTAAAACAAAAATCCAGAAAATCACATTGTATGATTTTTAAGTAATTAATTTGCATTTTATTGCATGACATAAGTATTTGATACATCAGAAAAGCAGAACTTAATATTTGGTACAGAAACCTTTGTTTGCAATTACAGAGATCATATGTTTCGTGTAGGTCTTGAACAGGATTGCACACACTTCAGCAGGGATTTTGGCCCACTCCTCCATACAGACCTTCTCCATATCCTTCAGGTTTCGGGGCTGTCGCTGGGCAATACGGACTTTCAGCTCCCTCCAAAGATTTTCTATTGGGTTCAGGTCTGGAGACTGGCTAGGCCACTCATGGACCTTGAGATGCTTCTTACGGAGCCACTCCTTAGTTGCCCTGGCTGTGTGTTTCGGGTGGTTGTCATGCTGGAAGAACCAGCCACAACCCATCTTCAATGCTCTTACTGAGGGAAGGAGGTTGTTGGCCAAGATCTCGCGATACATGGCCCCATCCATCCTCCCCTCAATACGGTGCAGTCGTCCTGTCCCCTTTGCAGAAAAGCATCCCCAAAGAATGATGTTTCCACCTCTATGCTTCACGGTTGGGATGGTGTTCTTGGGGTTGTACTCATCCTTCTTCTTCCTCCAAACACGGCGAGTGGAGTTTAGACCAAAAAGCTCTATTTTTGTCTCATCAGACCACATTACCTTCTCCCATTCCTCCTCTGGATCATCCAGATGGTCATTGGCAAACTTCAGACGGGCCTGGACATGCGCTGGCTTGAGCAGGGGGACCTTGCGTGCACTGCAGGATTTTAATCCATGACGGCGTAGTGTGTTACTAATGGTTTTCTTTGAGACTGTGGTCCCAGCTCTCTTCGGGTCATTGACCAGGTCCTGCCGTGTAGTTCTGGGCTGATCCCTCAACTTCCTCATGATCATTGATGCCGCACGAGGTGAGATCTTGCATGGAGCCCCAGACCGAGGGTGATTGACCGTCATCTTGAACTTCTTCCATTTTCGAATAATTGCGCCAACAGTTGTTGCCTTCTCACCAAGCTGCTTGCCTATTGTCCTGTAGCCCATCCCAGCCTTGTGCAGGTCTACAATTGTATCCCTGATGTCCTTACACATCTCTCTGGTCTTGGCCATTGTGGAGAGGTTGGAGTCTGTTTGATTGAGTGTGTGGACAGGTGTCTTTTATAAAGGTAATGAGTTCAAACAGGTGCAGTTAATACAGGTAATGAGTGGAGAACAGGAGGGCTTCTTAAAGAAAAACTAACAGGTCTGTGAGAGCCGGAATTCTTACTGGTTGGTAGGTGATCAAATACTTATGTCATGCAATAAAATGCAAATTAATTACTTAAAAATCATACAATGTGATTTTCTGGATTTTTGTTTTAGATTCTGTCTCTCACAGTAGAAGTGTACCTATGATAAATATTACAGAACTCTACATGCTTTGTAAGTAGGAAAACCTGCAAAATCGGCAGTGTATCAAATACTTGTTCTCCCCACTGTATGTTCCCTCACATCATTAGCCACAAGTGTGATCAATTTTGAGTTGTTGTGTTCAAGTGATGACACCTGTGCTCTAATTGTGTTTGACTTTTGTCACCTGTGCTCACCATTATGCAGCACGGGTGCATCACAATGAAAATGTGTTGGCAAGTTATGTCTAAACAGGTGAAAAGTGCTTATGGTTGTCATAAACCGTCGTGGATGTGGTGGAGGAGTCAAGCGCAGGAAGCAGAGGTTTAGTCCAACAATACTTTTAATAGTCTCAAATGCAATAGTATAAACCCCGACCTCGATAACACGAAGAGGCGAGGGAAAATTACGCACACGCGTAAAACACTAAACATAGAAAAATGATACGGAAAACAAACACGTATCAAATACAAAGAGGCAACGGAAAATAACAACACACAATTACCATAGAGCAAAACAAGGAACTTATAAGACACGTAATCAATACTCAAACAGACACAGGTGTGACAGAAAGACAAAAGCAATCAAACACAGAAACATAGAGCGGTGGCAGCTAATACTCCGGGGACGGCGAACGCCGAAGCCTGCCCGAACCAGGAGGAGGAGCAGCCTCGGCCGAAACCGTGACAATGGTTTTGCCAAAAGAGTGATTGATTCAATCAGTGGGTTCAGGCAACTGAGCATTTGGTTCAGACAATAGGGTTTAGTGTTTTAGCAATTGAGAAAAACTGTACTATCCTTGTGGGGACCTAAAATGGATTTCCATTCAAAATCCTATTTTCCCTAATCCTAACCCTAACCTTAATTAACCCTAACCTTAACCCCTAACTTCAACCCTAATCCTAAACCTAATCCCTAACCCCTAACCCTAATTCTAACTCTAAACCCTAAGCCTAAAATTGCTTTTGTCCTTGTGGGAACCTGGGAAATGTCCCCATGAGGGAGAATTTTCCTTGTTTTACTATCCTTGTGGGATAGTAAAACACACACACACTATTGTATTTTAATTCCAATGTGTAGAACCCATTCCTAGGTTGATTCTGATTATGTTCCCTCTCTCCTCTCTTCTCCCCCTATCTCCTCTCTCCTGTATTCCTTCTCTCAGAGTTACCTGCAGAGTCTGAGGGACAGACAGATGGGCACAGGCAACTCCCTCAGCAGCCTGGGCACTGCCAACCACACCATGATTGACTTTGACTACGAGACTGGCTCCACCGTGCCCCTCACCGCCACTACACCGGTCATCAGGGTCTGACGCACTGAGGGACAAGCAGGGGACCAACCACTTGTTTCTTGACCCTCCTCCACAGTTCTCCCAATGTTGACCCTACATACTGCTATTTTAGGGCCTCAGCTGTTATTTAGGCAATGTTTGAGTCTATTGAATAGCGAATCTACCTTCCATTGAGATGGAATAGAGCCTTGAATGCTGTCCAAGTGAAGATCAATGCACCAATAGATCCTAGCAGAACTCCAGTGTACTATACTGTAGCTCTCAGCCTGTCAATGCTGGACGTTTGGAATGGCAGACTGGAGAGTGATGGAATGGTTCCTCTGTCTGTGAGCTGTTCCCTGAGAGCGGTTGGGGGGATGTTTGGCCTCCTGTTTGATGTGTGCTTTAACCACTGTGTCAATAGACTGGGCCTGTGTAGAAGGAGAGAGAGAGAGAGAGAGAGAGAGGAGAGAGAGCGAGAAAGAGAGAGAGTAAGAGAAAGAGCGCTAGAGAGAGAGAGAGAGAGAGAGCGAGAGAGAGATACGACGAGATAGCAGAAGAGATAGCTATATATATGAGCTGTAGACTCCTGCATCTTACTCTCCTTCCGCTCTAATCTCTTAGCTCTCGTTCGATCTCTTCTCTTTCTTTCCCTTATCCTAGCTTCTCTCGCTCTCGTCGCTCTCCTCTCCTCTTCGCTCTATGCTCTCTCTCTTCTGAACGTGCTATATAGAACTCTCTGATTTCTTAGGTCATAGACTTTCTTTGGTGCCATTATGATTGATTGATTGATTACATATGGGAAAAATCACTTGACTGATGAAAACAGACTATTTTTGCTGTTCAGGAAGCAATAATAGCACGAGAGCTACCTCCTCGAGTGATATCAACTTTTACAATTGGAGTTATCTGTGCTTTAATGACTTGAAATTAACCAGTTGCATGTAACTTCTGGTCACCTGACTGCCTTAAAGAATAGGAGAGCAGCTGTTGTTGAGGATGCACTGTGACTGGACAAAGAAGAGGACAAGTCAAGACACATTTCTCTAATGTGTGTTTGTTGTCTGTGCGAGTGTGTGTTTGTAATGTTAAGGTGTGTGTTGGTGTTTACTTGTCCCTTTTTGTAAGTAACTGCCTGTATAGTTGAGTGTAGAAGATTCAGGTCCAGAGAGATACACGGCAGCCATTTTGTGCCTAAATACAATGGAGATTACATGGGCAATTTACAAGTGAAATTGAAGTTTTTTTTCATAGGAATTACAGTGCCTTTTTTAGAGATAGCAATACTATATATACAATGTTTCAAACCACACTTGGTTATGTCATTTATTTTGGAACAGTAGCTTGTTTCATGACAATTTATGGGCAGTTTTACCTGTGCAGTACCTGTATTCAGTAATTTATATGATTCATAACATTGAAGGACTATGCTATGGTCAAATTAGAGCACAAATTTGCCACATTCTAGGTTATTAAAGAATTATCTGTGTTTTTTGAAAATGGTAATTTACTTTTGTTTTAGAATTTTAGAGGGACAGTACACTCACTCAGTACTCTTAACTATTCTGAATCTGTACAGAATTGTCAATAGGAAATGTAAACGATAAACCATTAAATTAGTTTAAAAACAAAAGCGGTTTGAGTCATTTATCTGAGGCTAATAAATGGCTCTATATATTTTCCTCATGGTCACCTAGCAACATCAGCTGCCAAATTCAGCCTTGGAATCAGAAACACAGAGGGTCTCAAAGGCAACAACTGGGGGGGGATTTCCTGCTCCCTGATTGGTTTAAGCAGTGGTGTTGCTGTGGCAGCTCCGAAGCTTTATCAGCCCACAAGTATCATGCATGAAAGCTGCATCCCCCCCCCCCCCTCCCCCCCCTCAGAACAGCCTCAATAAGGTGTCGAAAGTGTTCCACAGGGATGCTAGCCCATGTTGACTCCAATGCTTCCTACAGTTGTGTCAAGTTGGCTGGATGTCCTTTGGGTGGTGGAACATTCTTGATACACACGGGAAACTGTTGAGAATGAAAAACCCTGAAGCATTGCAGTTCTTGACACAAACCGGTACGCCTGGCACCTACTACCATACCCTATTCAAAGGCACTTAAATATTTTGTCTTGCCCATTCACCCTCTGAATGGCACACATACACAATCCATGTCTCAATTGTCTAAAGGCTTAAAAATCCTTCTTTAAACTGTCTGGATTTAACAAGTGACATCAATAAGGGATCATAGCTTTCACCTGGATTCACCTGGTCAGTCTATGTCATGGAAAGAGCAGGTGTTCCAAATGCTTTGTATACTCAGTGTACATCATAAGGGAAACAAGGACTGTTGAAATGGTTTTATTGTTGATTGTCATGACTCATTTGTACAACTACTGTATGTCTTAGATGAATTAACAGCAAAAAAAATAATTGCACACATTTATAAACATATCCAAATGGTAGGCCTATACACTATGAAATGTGAATTCCCTTTAGCTTGACTATAAAAACATCAATAAGCATGATGAGGTTCAACAGCAACATCGGTACACAATTATAAACCAGTTATAAAATGTAGACATCATGATGTGAAAGTCTGACGCAACAGCAATGATATTAGGCTTCTCTTTATGTCGGAAGTGATAAAATATCCACACTCTATCCCTAGAAACGCATAACATGGCGACAAGAAACTCACAAATACTTTTTCAGACCCGTCCACGGTGTCTGCAAGCCAAACATCAAAAGAAAACAAGAAGTTTCAAAGTGCTGGGTGAACACCATTGAAATCAGTACACATACTGAAAAGAGGGCACATAACTGAATAGTCCCATCCACATCTGTTGTGAGGGAGAGGAAGGGCCCCCCCTGGAAGGCCCCCTGAGAGCATAACAAACAGCCTCTCCACACACACACTCCCTCAGAACTCAGTCTAACACGTTTGGGCTGAGGTCCTGCCTGTGTTACATGGAAACAGAGAACTAGTAGGCCATAACGATTTGACACTCAATATGCAACCTTATATAAGCACTTATGTCTTACCTCAAATGGCTTTGCCACTACTTACATTGATAAAGATTCTATCTCATGTTTCGAAGAAGTCGTTTGACATAACATTTCAGTTATGTACCTTGACTGATAACATGTACTGGTACATGGAAATATGTTATTATATTGGTTTCACAGTGTGAACACAATGTTATCACAGTGTGGTTGTGATTGTTGTTGTGTGGTTCCCTGAATGGTTAATTGAGAACACATCTCACCAGCACCGTATTGAGGTTTATGGTGTCTGCTGTCCTCTAGTGTCTGGCTCCTAGCAGTGCATCCAGCGTTCACTCATGCTGAGTGGGTAGCCTTTGTCTACACTCAGTAGACTGTTCACACGCCAGTACTTGTCTCCCTTGAAGAAGAAGATCTTTCCGTTGGTCCAGGTAAAGGCAGCATCAGGGCTGGAGGGCACCCCAGTGAAGAGGTTAGAGAGTGGTTTGGGGTACACGTTGAGGTTACTGTGGCGCAGCTCATCCCACTGCCAGTACCCTGTACCCTGAGGAGAGGGACAACAGAGGACAAAGATGATTAGTACAAAGAGTTTTTCATGCTGGGTATTTGGCATATTCATCACATTCAAGTGGGTAAAAATGCTACGGCTTCAATTTTTGTTGTCATTAATCTACTATAACAATTTACTGAAACCATAATGCTCAGTTGTCATTTGTAAGTTTACTGGTTAAAAAGTATTGATATTTGTGCTTTCTTGTGTTCAGCTACCTTGAAAAAGACCAGCTTCTTATTCTTCTCCAAGTACAAAGCAGCATCAATATTAGGTGGGAGGCGTTTGAGCTCTTTGGGGTACCCGTAGTCCAGGAGAAAACGAGTGTATCTCCACACTTTATCACCTGTGGTCAGAAACAGTTTTGGTGAGTAGGCTGAAATGAGGAGAGATTAACAGTAACACATTCTGGGCCAGATCACTGTCAATCAATCACTGTCAAGTATTTTAAAACCAGTATTACACAGTTCATACTATCAGTTCTTCTTTAAAATCATCTCACTTTCCCTAATTTGTTAGTCAAAAACACAATACATTTTAAAGTTGATAAAATATTACACCTTTCAAAAAGTATGTCTTGTTTGTTCTCTGAGAGTAAACGGCTGCGTTCAGGTTCCCAGGCAGTCCCGTCCACAGCCGGTCGATCTTCATGGGTGGATTGTGTCCAATGTCAGACACCGTCCACACATAATCACCACTGAAGGCAAATGTCTTCCTCCATGGACCTGGAGGAGGAGCACAAAATTGAACACTGAAGGTCCAATCTCAACCTGTCAAATTCCATTGTAGTCTCAATTCCATTGCAGAGAGCAAAAATGTGGTTAGTTAAATCTATCAGAGTAAAGAATATTGCTACAATCTTGAATAGTGTAAGGCAAAAATGTGTGAGGCAAAAATAAGAGCTTCCAAGATATGGGAGATACAGTGGGGGGAAAAAGTATTTAGTCAGCCACCAATTGTGCAAGTTCTCCCACTTAAAAAGATGAGAGAGGCCTGTAATTTTCATCATAGGTACACGTCAACTATGACAGACAAATTGAGAATTTTTTTCTCCAGAAAATCACATTGTAGGATTTTTAATGAATTTATTTGCAAATTATGGTGGAAAATAAGTATTTGGTCACCTACAAACAAGCAAGATTTCTGGCTCTCACAGACCTGTAACTTCTTCTTTAAGAGGCTCCTCTGTCCTCCACTCGTTACCTGTATTAATGGCACCTGTTTGAACTTGTTATCAGTATAAAAGACACCTGTCCACAACCTCAAACAGTCACACTCCAAACTCCACTATGGCCAAGACCAAAGAGCTGTCAAAGGACACCAGAAACAAAATTGTAGACCTGCACCAGGCTGGGAAGACTGAATCTGCAATAGGTAAGCAGCTTGGTTTGAAGAAATCAACTGTGGGAGCAATTATTAGGAAATGGAAGACATACAAGACCACTGATAATCTCCCTTGATCTGGGGCTCCACGCAAGATCTCACCCCGTGGGGTCAAAATGATCACAAGAACGGTGAGCAAAAATCCCAGAACCACACGGGGGGACCTAGTGAATGACCTGCAGAGAGCTGGGACCAAAGTAACAAAGCCTACCATCAGTAACACACTACGCCGCCAGGGACTCAAATCCTGCAGTGCAAGACGTGTGCCCCTGCTTAAGCCAGTACATGTCCAGGCCCATCTGAAGTTTGCTAGAGTGCATTTGGATGATCCAGAAGAGGATTGGGAGAATGTCATATGGTCAGATGAAACCAAAATATAACTTTTTGGTAAAAACTAAACTTGTCGTGTTTGGAGGACAAAGAATGCTGAGTTGCATCCAAAGAACTCCATACCTACTGTGAAGCATGGGGTGGAAACATCATGCTTTGGGGCTGTTTTTCTGCAAAGGGACCAGGACGACTGATCCGTGTAAAGGAAAGAATGAATGGGGCCATGTATCGTGAGATTTTGAGTGAAAACCTCCTTCCATCAGCAAGGGCATTGAAGATGAAACGTGGCTGGGTCTTTCAGCATGACAATGATCCCAAACACACCGCCCGGGCAACGAAGGAGTGGCTTCGTAAGAAGCATTTCAAGGTCCTGGAGTGGCCTAGCCAGTCTCCAGATCTCAACCCCATAGAAAATCTTTGGAGGGAGTTGAAAGTCCGTGTTACCCAGCGACAGCCCCAAAACATCACTGCTCTAGAGGAGAGCTGCATGGAGGAATGGGCCAAAATACCAGCAACAGTGTGTGAAAACCTTGTGAAGACTTACAGAAAATGTTTGACCTGTGTCATTGCCAACAAAGGGTATATAACAAAGTATTGAGAAACTTTTGTTATTGACCAAATACTTATTTTCCACCATAATCTGCAAATAAATTCATAAAAAATCCTACAATGTGATTTTCTGGAGAAAAAAATTCTCATTTTGTCTGTCATAGTTGACGTGTACCTATGATGAAAATTACAGGCCTCTCTCATCTTTTTAAGTGGGAGAACTTGCACAATTGGTGGCTGACTAAATACTTTTTTTCCCCACTGTATGTACATCTACGCTTTTGACTGTATATCGCTGGTCAGTATTGTGTGCAGACAGCTTACCCAGCATGATGGCATCCAGCTTGGTGGTGCAGGGGTCTGGGATGTCTCCCTCAGCACCAGGGAGGCTGTATGTGGGGAGTGCCACTGTGGGCTTAATTGTAACACTTGTATCACGTTTACCTAAAGGGAGGATGAAAGCATTACCTGTGACATTTGTAATACATAGCTTTCTGATAGGGGTGTATTTTGTTTTGCAAGCCAAAAAGTAAAAAAATAAACATTGGTACCAGACCAACCCAGGCTCTACTCACCATACATAGCCTGGATGCCTTTCACATCATCGAAATGCAGACGGAAGTTGTTACGGTAACCGGTATAGAGAGGGGCCATGAGAGCACTTCTGTACTGGGAGTGGCCCAAGCCCAGGGCGTGGCCTATCTCATGGGCAGCGATGATACGCAGGTTAATGCCATAGAACTTGCCCTCTGTCCAAAACTCATCCTCGTCAAAATGAATGATGCCTGACTCTGGGGGTTCAGCATGGGCCAGCACATGACCTACGAGAGAAAAAAACTGTTTTATTACGCTATATTTCAATGGAAATTAATAAGTATCAGCAGTGAAACCAGGGGTACTTAACTACTGTATGTTTGGTGTGTGTGTGTTAGGCCAGGATTCAATCTGATCGCGCTTGTAGACAACGCAGCTTTTAAAGGCAACAATGTGACTGCGTTCGTGGAGATTGCATTTAAAGTAAACCCTGCAGATGTCAGCTCAATTAGAAATTACCTTTAAATGTCAAGCATGCTATAATGTGGATCTAGCACAGATCGGCATTAATCCCGGTCTTAGACTACAGTAACTCCAACCCAACTGTATCCGGCCCATAGGCACACTCACCCTGTCCATCAAAAGGCTCGGCACAAGTGGCATCTTTTGCATGGAATGAGATCCTGATGTCGGCTCGTCCATACTCGACCTCTCGGAAGCTCAGGGGAGCCACGTCGCTCCAGTACTTAAAGGCAGAGCGGATCGCCCTCTTTGTCTCACTCTTTGGCATGTCTGGAGTGTAGTTGTAGATTCGCCAGGACAGGCTTCTCTTGCGCCAGTAACCTAAAGAAGAAAAAACATGCATTTACCATAAACACACGTCTAGACGAGAAACCACATTGTGTAGGTGAAGATTATTCTTATTAGGTGAGGATTATTATTATTATCATTAAATGTGCAAAGTGACTCCCAAAGTTTTATGTTCCAACCCACCATCTGGGAAACCGGTTCATCCCACCCCCACATACAATATCCTCTCCACATGTCTTCACTCACCCAGTACTCTGTATTTTAGGGTTTTCTTGTTGAAGGGGTCCTCTATGCCACAGCGAGGCTGTCTCATCATCTCTAGGGTGGCCTTGTCAATCACTCCATTGACAGGCAGGTCTGTCACTCTCTGGAAGACCCTGGGGGAAAGGAAGGACTGAAAGCTCCAATAGCAGATACAGCATGTGCGTACTGTAAATGTAAGGCAAGGAAATATTTCCTGCCAATGGGAAATGTTATGCTAAAGAATTGCATTGATTGTAGTGCATGTGTCAATGTGCCTTGCAAACAAAAGGCTATACAATAAAGCTGTGTTTGGATCTGTATTCACAAAGGGACATTTACAGTAAGTATGTTCAGATTTTTTGCTTGTTCAGGTTTGTTGGGGAAGAGGAATCACCCATTGCCAAGAGGAATTACACATGTAAATTGTTGTTGTGTTCATAGACTGTAGGTTGTGTTGCTGAGGATCAACTTTACCTGAGGGCCTCAGTGATATCATCTGCCTCGATGCCCTTGTTCTGAGGATCCAGTGGAGTGTGCAGATAGCCATACTTCTTCAGGTATGCCTGGTAACACAATAACCACAGTGGGGATACAAGGGTTACTTTAGAAGTTTCAAAGTGATCTTAATCACCTCTTACATTGTGAATGACAACAGCCACAAGAGAAACAATGCTGATTAAGTTGCAGACTACCAGAAAGACTGTGAAAGCCATTTGATAGGTTACACATATGGCACTTTGCATCACATAGACCTATATGGATGGTCCAGTTCATAGGCATTGCTGAAAGTTTGCATTATGAGTGTGAACATCCACAATAATGCAGAGTATTCATAAGTTGCAATGTAATTCAATGAATGAAGATAGATAATACTTTAAAAAGTTGGAAAATTCCTACCGTTGCTTCAGTGGCCTCCAACCTCCTGTCCATCACTCCTGTAATTACGCACAGAACGAGAGCCATGAGCACCGTCACCTGCAGAAGGTAACCCATTCGCAAAACTTCTACGCAGGAAAAACTGCTGTAAACGTTAGGAAAATCAAGCAAATATGATGTCCGTAATACACTTTGCAGGACGCTCTTGTCTCAACTACTTAGAAAAATATATACTTATTAAACATTATTTAGGGGAAAAAAAATTCGTCGTTCATCGTTATCTGTTACTCTCCCAAAACGTTACTCTACTGGTTTTCTTCCGTGTGTTCTGGAGGCTTATAACTCAAGTGCGGAGTGAGTCAGCCCTGACCCACTGTGATGATCCATCTCGGAAGAATGAGCCTGGAGCAACCGCGAAATGGTTTCAAGTTGAAACAGTAAAATGCAGTTGTCGACCATTTTCTTATGCTCTCCAACTCCCACACTCCCACGTGCCCCCTCCGTCTGATGAAGAACACAAATTGGCGGGAGATTTCAGCCTATTGGCCTATTTCCCCCGGTAACTATGGGATTCCAGTTTCCAGCCATGTGACTTACATTGTTGCTTTTTTGTTGTTGTAAGTTCCTGATAATTGTTTCCTCCACAGGGACACCGCGCTTCAAACGTCAACGCTTGATAGAAAATGGCAACGTTTCATGGATTCCAGTCAGTGCTACACAGAATCCTTGGGATGTCCCTACCCACAACCCTAACCTTAACCCTTACCTTAGCCATTTTAAATGTCTACTAAAATGGGGTAGGGACATCCCAAGGATCCCAGTTAACACTTGACCCTTTTCCCAACGGTGTTCACAAGTACGGAAATTTTACCACGTCATTGGCATACAGAAGTTGTAACACTGCACAATTGGTCACTAAGCAAAGCTTTTCCATAATACAGTTGCCCAAGCCCAACCAACTGTGTCAGCCAGGTGTCAGTGTGTAGTGGTTAAAATATAACCTTGCAGTATGATGTGATGATGGTGGCATAGGCCTACCAAGCACATTCCAAGACTTTGTCAAAATAATATAAAATAATGAATAGGGTGAATTCGGAAAGAGTGGGACATCATATGAACTGGGACAGCATAATCCTGAAGTGTGTATTTATTGATCTGACAAGAGAAAACCTAAACTATTGTTACTAAGCCCTTGCAGAGAAACCACATGATCAAAATCCCATCACTTCATTGGTGTTACATCATAGAGGGGGGCAGAGCAAGCTTCAAACAGGAAGCTCACCCCGCGAAGCACACAGTAAGATCAGTGACATAGTTTTTTTCTCTGTTTTGATGTGAAGGTTATAAAACTGTCATAAATAATGCACTTTGCCAAATTGTGATGTAAATGTGCATACTGTGTACTGTTGCAACAAAATACCAATATTATGTTTAAAGGTGCTACAAATAGAATTTCTCCCCTATGTGGAAGCTAGGTGAATTGCAATAGCACTAGGCTGCATTCAAAACAAATCTCCCCCCTCCCCTGCATCCCATTTCCCCGTAACATGGAGGAGACTCACGCTTGAGCCTTTTACTTTCGGTTTTGGTCCACCAGCTTCAAACAGCTGTAATAACTATATTTGTTGTTATTGAAAATATATTTCACAGCGATTTAGATGGTACAATGATTCCCTACACACTATTCAGTGATTGTTTTCTCACATAAAATGAAATTGAGCGAACAGTGTAGAATTTTAGCAACCAGGAAATGAAAGAGCGACTTCCACAGCCACAAAGTCAAAATAGCTTTCCCATTTTGACAAAATAAGCCGGCCCGGTGGGAGAAATTAATAGGCAAATATCACAGCCAATCACAACACTGGCGTGTAAGTAATACTGTGAAACACTGTCATTCCACTATTACTGCAGATATTTTATGGACATTATCTGAAATTACAATGTAAAAATTAAACAACAAAAAAATGAATGTGTAGCACCTTTAAATGTTGCAATTGTCTCTTTTTTTTTTTTTTTTGCTTTACCAACCATAGCTAGCTAAAGTAGAACAGCATGGAGTTGCTAAAGTGGGATTGCCTTATAGGCTTTTCCAATGGAGGGAAGAGATCCAGTTTACATTAGGGACCGCTGTACTGGGTCTCTTTTTGCATTTCCCTCTTCTGTGACCTCACATGATACATTTCTGAAATCCTCAAATGTTTCCTAATCACACAAAATTGAATTGTCATTGGGATACAATTAGGACTACAATAATGGTGTCCCAGTTTATCTAACCTGCTGTCCCAGTCTACCAAATGCGATCTGAAAATATGGTTTTGACTCAGTGTACACAAATGGGTGTGTCAAGCCTCCTGTGAATATGATATCAACATTTCTTTTTTTGTGTGACTAGGAAACATCTTCAGAATTTCATAAATGTATCATTTTGGCTAATACAGTGCATTCGGAAAGTATTCAGACCCCTTCACTTTTTCCACATTTTGTTACGTTACAGCCTTGTTCTAAAATTGATTTTTTTTAAATAAATCCCTCATCAATCTACACACAATACCCCATAATGTCAAAGCAAAAACAGGTTTTTAGAAATGTTTGCAAATGTATTAAAAATAAAAAACAGAAATACCTTATTTACATAAGTATTCAGACCCTTTGCTATGAGACTCAAAATTGAGCTCAAGTGCATCCTGTTTCCATTGACCATCCTTGAGATGTTTCTACAACTTGATTGGAGTCCACCTGTAGTGAATTCAATTGATTGTACATGATTTGGAAAGGCACACACCTGTCTATACAGTGAGGGAAAAAAGTATTTGATCCCCTGCTGATTTTGTACGTTTGCCCACTGACAAAGACATGATCAGTCTATAATTTTAATGGTAGGTTTATTTGAACAGTGAGAGACAGAATAACCAAAAACAAAATCCAGAAAAACGCATGTCAAAAATGTTATAAATTGATTTGCATTTTAATGAGGGAAATAAGTATTTGACCCCTCTGTAAAACATTACTTAGTACTTGGTGGCAAAACCCTTGTTGGCAATCACAGAGGTCAGATGTTTCTTGTTGTTGGCCACCAGGTTTGCACACATCTCAGGAGGGATTTTGTCCCACTCCTCTTTGCAGATCTTTTCCAAGTCATTGAGGTTTTGAGGCTGACGTTTGGCAACTCAAACCTTCAGCTCCCTCCACAGATTTTCTATGGGATTAAGGTCTGGAGACTGGCTAGGCCACTACAGGACCTTAATGTGCTTCCTCTTGAGCCACTCCTTTGTTGCCTTGGCCGTGTGTTTTGTTTTTTCCCCTTAGCAGAAAAACACCCCCAAAGCATAATGTTTCCACCTCCATGTTTGACGGTGGGGATGGTGTTCTTGGGGTCATAGGCAGCATTCCTCCTCCTCCAAACACGGCGAGTTGAGTTGATGCCAAAGAGCTCGATTTTGGTCTCATCTGACCACAACACTTTCACCCAGTTCTCCTCTGAATCATTCAGATGTTCATTGGCAAACTTCAGACAGGCCTGTATATGTGCTTTCTTGAGCAGGGGGACCTTGCGGGCGCTGCAGGATTTCAGTCCTTCACGGCGTAGTGTGTTACCAATTGTTTTCTTGGTGTCTATGGTCCCAGCTGCCTTGAGATCATTGACAAGATCCTCCTGTGTAGTTCTGGGCTGATTCCTCACCGTTCTCATGATCATTGCAACTCCACGAGGTGAGATCTTGCATAGAGCCCCAGGCCGAGGGATATTGACAGTTATTTTGTGTTTCTTCCATTTGCGAATAATCGAACCAACTGTTGTCACCTTCTCACCAAGCTGCTTGGCGATGGTCTTGTAGCCCATTCCAGCCTTGTGTAGGTCTACAATCTTGTCCCTGACATCCTTGGAGAGCTCTTTGGTCTTGGCCATGGTGGAGAGTTTGGAATCTGATTGATTGATTGCTTCTGTGGACAGGTGTCTTTTATACAGGTAACAAACTGAGATTAGGAGCACTCCCTTTAAGAGTGTGCTCCTAATCTCAGCTCGTTACCTGTATAAAAGACACCTGGAAGACAGAAATCTTTCTGATTGAGAGGGGGTCAAATACTTATTTCCCTCATTAAAATGCAAATCAATTTATAACATTTTTGACATGCGTTTTTCTGGATTTTGTTGTTGTTATTCTGTCTCTCACTGTTCAAATAAACCTACCATTAAAATTATAGACTGATAATTTCTTTGTCAGTGGGCAAACGTACAAAATCAGCAGGGGATCAAATACTTTTTTCCCTCACTGTATGTCTTGAAGAGAAGTAGCCTATGAGGGGTAATATAATATGGCCTTTATAGACCACATTAAAGTGCTCCTTTCAAGTGGTTGTGCAAGCAAGCCCGTATTCAAGTCAAATCGTTTGACCTCTGCAAGGGTAGTACATTTTCCATTATCCATCATAACCGTTTCGATTTTGCGTTAAGGTTTGATACATTTATGTTAGTAAGGTAATGGTCAATGTTTTCCTGCATCGATTTTTACAAGACTTAAAGAGACACTGGAGAAATGCTGAAGTGAAGTGCACACCATAGTTTCACTGAACAGCTGCACATTCCTCAGCATGCAACAAGGTGCCAATAGATACTAATGACCAAACCACAGAACTATCTCAGGGACAGAGATACAGTGCACTGGTTTGAAGCCAGAGTGTGAGAATACCATAAACGTGCTGCTGATATACAGTAAGTGGAACAGCAAACACCGTAGTCTCAGTAAGTTTATCATTTTGAATGGACAGCTTTGGATATCTTTTTTGTGTAGCTTTTCATCCGCCTGCACCTTGTCATCATTATGAGGGCATGCTACAATAATGTTCAAAACCCCACACTTTTCAAGGACGTACTCAGGTTGGCATTTCAGACATCAGTTCTGCAGTTTAACAAAGATTCATTCACAATGTATGAGTTTGGTCAGCCTGCAGGATTTCCAAGAAAAAGAGTCTGAACTTGAACTTGAACTCATTCTTCTTGAGCATGTGCAGTGTGCACATACATCAACCAAATAATGATAACATTCTACAGCTGTTTGTAGGGAAACCTCAGTGGTTTATATCTTAGTCTTTGCTTCTTCTTTATTTAGCAACAAAACTGACTTGTGCGCAACTATGGGGCAAAATAGACAGGGTTGGCTTAGATGGTTGACAACATGTAAACTATATTTAGTCTCCAATGTTTATTGAAATCCAATTTGTAAGTCGCTCTGGATAAGAGCGTCTGCTAAATGATGTAAATGTAAATGTATACATTTGCACAATGAGCACTTGTTGTCTCTCAAATACATTGGTACAGTTGTTGGTTAGCTAACTTGCACATTTTTGCCATATTAGCATAGACGTGACAACAGTCAAAACACCTCAAAACAAGACATGGTGTCAAGAACAAGCTAGAACTAGCTCAAATGAGCCATGTATGATTCCCCACATGGCAGCTTCTTGTCATTGTTGCTAGCTATCCAGAAACACAACAACACATTAACTTCTGTCCCATTGAAGCGTGCACATCGTTTTAGTGACATT